ATAGTTAATCCCATGTATTGGTCCAGTGTGTGTGTGGACCTGGGTGGGACAAGGAGTCCGGCCCGGCGGAAATGTGGTTCGCCGAACACCTCTCAATTCTCCTCGTCTTGGTCTGGTGTCCGCCCTTGTTGGGGGCGCCCAAGGCCCTGAACACCGGGTCCATCTATTGAACGTGCGGCACTTGCAAGCGCCGGGTAAGGCCGATTGCAAATTTGCGCTGTCTGTTGGGCGCCAAGCAGCCATGTTTGTTGGCAGAGACAAGGTGGCGTACGTACCATCCTTTGCACACAAGCCCCAACATCATCAATTGCCTGGCAAGCGGGCGCAGGGTTGGTTGGACCAAGCAGGATCTAATATTATAAGCTGGCAATGCGGCTAAGAGCGCCCTAGAAATGAATTTTTTACGGCTAACAGCGCCCCGGAAATGAATTTTTGAGCCTGACTCAGCATTCTTGTGTAAGAATCGACCCCTGTGACATGGGGGTTGCGTGAGTGGCGGGGCTCTCCGAGTCGGGTGCCGTGGGCATATGCCTTCCCGGGATGGGTTGGGTCGGTGGCTGCGCTCAAGGGCGGCCGACAGCAGGCGCGCGGCTATCGGTGCCGCGGCTGCGGCGCGCCGTGCGCGCTTGCGCTTGACGCGCACGTTTGTCGTCGCGATTCCGTGTCGCCGCGGCGGAAATGGAGACCATCGCCGACGCCGATCTTCACAACGGCGATGGCCCGCGCTCAAACGCGCAGCCTGGCGTTGCCGCCCCGGCGAGAGCTCCCCGCCAGGCCACGGAGCGGCTCAAATGCCTTGCAGCGCTCCGTTGTGGCAGCTATTGGCACAGCGACCGCGGCACGGTATGTAGTCAGGCACCCCCCCGCGTTCGGGGCCCACGGTCCCAACAGTGAATTTTCGGAAAGCCGGAGAGCGGGTGTGCGGCTCCCGCCCGGGCCGGGGGAGGTGCTTGAGCGGGGTGGGCCGCGGATCTCCACAATCGCCTCCGCAGCGCGCAGTGGGTGCCAGTCAGGTGTCAAGAGTGTCGAATGTACTCTTTGGTCGATTAAGGCAATGCGCCAGCGGCATTGGCTCGTGAAACGTGCGGTTGGAAACGGGTTCCCCTCAAGGGCTTCCCCGGGTTGCAGAGAGGGTGCAACTGTCGCGACGGTGATACGCAGCCCTGGCAGCGACGACGGCGGCCAACGACACGGCAGTCAAAGAACGTGTTGAGCAAATTGTCATGAAATGAACATCAACAGCGCGACCTGGCCAATGAGTGAGTGGGCTTTCAGTGGATAAACTAGGAACGATAAAGTGCAGAACGTGGGGCCGAAGGCCCGACTTCTGGACTCGTAGCCCATAGTTTGAGCTACGCAGCAGTCACGCCAACTTGGAAAGAGATGAGTTTCACAAAACCACGCTCGGCACATGGTAATCGTCCCAGATGAAAAGGAGGCTGACGTCCCAATATCGTGTCACCCTCAACCCCAAACAATGTGTGTGCGTTCATCCTGATCAGCCTTCTCAAAATCAGCCGTCGTGGCGGCGACATCCGAATCCGATCCTTTATGCTTTTCTGACTCCGATAGCAAACCCCCAAGCAGAACCAACATCAGCACACTTGCAATTGTCCTAGATGACATGGATGTTGAAGTTGGCTAACGCAGCTCCCTCGACCACAATGTGTGTTCTCATTTGCCTTCTCAAAATCAGCCGTCAAAGCGGCGGGATCTGCATCCAATCCTGGAATCGTCGAAGACTCGAAGAAAGAAAAATCAAGATTGCCATTCACCTAAACCAGATTCACTGCCTTCACCAATGTGCAATCACAAGCACAAGTGAGTCATTCATTGCCTGCACTGCGTCCAGGCTTCAACAATCAATGCTAAGCTAATTTTTTTGATTTTTCTTTTTCTAGTACCCAAATCGCCAACCAACATGGCGAACTCAAGCCACCGTCCATCAATAGCTTCCATCTCGCGCAAAATTGAGATCCCCTTTGCCAAGAGCCAGGGGAGAAAGCAATTCCACAGAATCATGCGCACAGCGTGCGCGGCCAACCAATGTTCCAAAATGCTGCAGCCACAAAGCGAACGTCACTTGCAGCAGACCATCCACCAAAAAGGTTGCACGGGCTGAAGCCACAGCCCCTGCACTTCTTCTCCCCTTTTGTTCATCTGCCCGCCCACAAAGGCGGTCAGAGCACGAGTTGACCCATTAACGAATGTCTGCGTCCCCACGGACCCTCCTGCTTCTAAGTCATCGATGCGCCCCACCCAAGAGGGGCGTACTACCCAAATCATCAAAAAGAAACGCACAACCCACCGCCCACGGCACCGGCCAAAACTGCCTGCACACAACAGCAAGAACGTGGCTCGCACAGCCGAAGGCGCATTTCAAGTCAGTTGTTTGGAGCTGCGACCCTTGGGGGTTCCCCGCAACGCGCGTGCCAATCGGGGAATCGGAGCAAGGACCCTTAGGCCTCAGGCTGGGCTTAGGCCCAGCACCCTCTCCGCCGGCGACGCGCTGGAGAGGACATCCGGGTGGGAGGGCGCCAGGTGGCGGCGCCCCACCAGGCCGTTGGCTTTGGGGATGGGGATCTCCTTGCTCTGCGCCTTGGCGTCGAACTCCGACGATGCCACGTGGACGCCAACAGCCCTGCCAGAGATCTCGTGCAGGTTCTTCCACTCCGGGTCCCAGCTCACGGCCTCGGGGGTGGAGCAGGCCACGCTGAGGCCGCGCGGCACCGTCAGCAGGGCCGCCTTGCTGGGGAACTGCTCCTGGAAGAGGGAGCGCAGGACGTAGTACTCGCGCGTGCGAGGCGGGTCCGTCGGGAAGCGCTCCATGCGGCGCGCCCACATCTCGTCCGTCACCACCTGCGGCGGAAATTCAACACGTTGAATCGACGTGCACCGACAAGTCGACAGCAAAGGCTAAGGACAACTCGATGCGCAGGAAACGTCGGCGCAATTTCGCACGTTGCGAGACGGTGGACGAGGCCTGCGGGGGGCACGCGGACGACTGGGGGAGAATGTGGGCAACGCGGGGCGCATTCGTGGAGGTCGAATCGATGCAAGTGGGAATCCAACGGCACAGCGCTGTGCGCAAGGCGGCTGTCTACGGATCAGCGCGCCGTCGAGTCCGCGGCTGACAAGAAACAGAACCACCCGGCCCAGCAAGCGTGGGGTGCTTCACGCGTCCACAAGCGAGAGTCGACTCAAACCAGTGATTACCGCAACATCTGGTCGGTCAGCGGCTATCGAGTCTCTTGGCGCAACGGGCTCCTGAGCGAGCGGCGCTTCGAATCACACTATGTCGCGCCACACGAACGCGGACAGCAAAAAAGGCACCAGATGGAAGCGCAAATACGCTTGGCAGTGTGACAATCTCCGCGCTCTGGCGCACCTTGCTCGCGTAGTCCTTCAGTCCGTCCACCCAGTCGTATCCCACGCCGTCGCTGAACTGCTCCTTCTGGCGGAACAGCACGGAGTCGGGCAGGTAAGGGCACTCGGGGTCGTCGAACGCCTTACGCAGCACGTACTTCTCCATCTTGGGGTGCACCCCGTCGGGTTTGAACGACATGTCGATCATCTTCTCCGCCGGGTCCATGCCCATGGCCACCTGGAAAAGCACGCAGCGACAGCGTCAGCCGGGTCTTTTCGACGACTCGAAATCGATGTTTGAACTTGATGCCAAGGTCAAGTCTATGGGGATAGTGTGCGGCAGCGTCTGGACCAACTCGAAAGCGCATCGTCACTCTGCGACACAAGAAATCACGACACCATCGTGTCGGTCTGGCTAGGGGAAGACTGCCCTTCAATACAACTGGCCTGCCCTTTGACGGCTGGGGGGACGAATGCTGCTCATTTCAAGACCCCGCCAAACCCCTCTGAAGCAACTTGCTGTTCTTGAGCGCGTGAATGCACTTATTTTCAACTTTGACGTGGCCACCCACACAAACATTTCTGAGATGATATTAATGGAGTACTGGCGTGTGCTAGGTGCCTGCAACTTTGCTGTCGCAAAGTGCGTTGGCCAGGAACGAAAATGTGCAAGCACCTGAATGTGCGCGCGCGGGCGCGGGGGCGCGTGCGCGCACACACACACACACACACACACCTCAAGGAAGTCCTTGTCCAGAAAGGGCACCCTGGACTCCAAGCCCCAGGCAAAGGGTGCCTTGTTGGCACGCAGGACGTCCCAGAGATACAGGCGTGACAGCTTGCGAACGGTCTCCCTGTGCATCTCCTCTGGGCTGGGAGCCTTGTGGAAGTACAGGTAACCACCGAAGATCTCGTCAGCACCCTCTCCAGAAAGCACCACCTTGATACCCAGGGCCTTGATCTTGCGAGCCAGCAGGTACATGGGAACGGCCGCTCGCACCTGCAGGTCAGGGACCCCATTGTGAGCCAGGTGTCAGGTGGGAGAGCCATTTAGCAGCTTCCGAAAACACAAGGCCACGATGACACTTGCCTGGAGTGTGTAGGGACGCCAGCACCCCCCCGTCCAGATTACTGGTTCAAGGCCAAGCAAGGCGGAGCCAATTACTACATTGCCCTACAACTGAGACAGGGCCTGCACCCTTACAGGCCACAACAGACATTTCTATACAATGCATCCATCCCCAGTGCATGCACTGCTCTGCCGCACAGCAAGCAGGGCGCTTTTTCCACAAGTGTGCAGGTAGTCAGCAGCCAACGACGACCACACCTGCTCGAAGGATTCAATGTGCCAAATGAGGTCCCTGAGTGCGTCGATGCCTTCCTCCACAGTGAAATGGAACTCGTGATGATTCGTACCCAGATCGTTTGCCACTTTCCTGGCCGCCATCAAGTCGGGTGCCCCTTTAAGGCCGATGCTAAAAGTGTTGAGGCGCTCGCTCTTGCTGTATGCATTGTTGGACTCCTTAAGATGCCTGTGAAAAGACACCAAAGAGCAATTTTGCTGCCAGTCAAGCTAACCTCGATTCTTTTGGGATGGATGATGTACTGTCACTGAGCTCAGAATCAAGGTGTGAAACGTCAACGGGGAATGCCTTTGGCAACGCAATACTGACGCGAGACACCATTATGGCACGACAAGGACATCTGCGAACATTCAGTCAGCACAGACCGACAAGTTGGGAAACAGGGGCGCACCTCACGGCAATGCTGGCCACCAGCGAAGAATCAAGTCCACCGGAAAGGAGCATTCCAAGAGGGGCATCCGACATCAGCCGCTTCACCACCGACCGGATCAATGCTTTCTGTGAAACAAAATCAGTTTGCTTGTGAGTGGAAAGCCACAGGTACACATATGCTGCACGGCCTTTCACAAGCGGACTCGCCAAGGTGGCCGCCTCTCTGCACAATCCCTCTTTGTTGTTGCTGGTTGTCAGCAACACGCCCTTTGCTGGAGCACCGCGACCGCCGCTCATTAAACAAGTGAAGTGAACGGTGATCATCCAAGTGACACACCATCCGTCAGACGGGTACGCGTCAACCGCAACAATGGTGACGCGGTCACCACCAGTACATTACGTGCCCCCGTTGTGTCCCAGGCCAGATGCAAAAGTGCCAAAGCGCAAGGCTGATGTCCACACGGTGTCGGGGCGTGAGGACGACAAGGCCCCAAGCAAAATTACTAACGGCCCAGGCCGGCCAGCGCAGCGCCCACCTCCCAGGACGTGACCTCCGCCCCTTGAGGAGGCGCACCCCAAGACCAGCCACGCACCCCCCCAACGCAAGTCCGAGCGCCGCGCCGGCGCCCCACGCACCTTCAGGGTGGCCATGCAGGCGGGCTTCGTGGGTATCCTGCTCATATCCAGCCACCTAGGGTTATACCAGCGCTCCAGCTTCCCTTTGCTGCTCCTGAACACGTGCCCCTGCGCCCGTAGCCACGCGGCCGTGAGCGATGCACAAACCGAAATCGGCGGCGCGGAAGGATCGCCCAAAGAACGCAGCGTTTCCAGACCGCACGCGCGACACACCCGCAGCAAAAAAAACAGCCGCGTGGCACAAGGATGGGGGAAGCTGCAGCCGCCATGGGCGCCAGGGCTGGGCACTCACCGGCGGGAACACCTCCAGCGCCTCGCACTTGTCCTGGATGGCCTTCATCTCGCTAGCGAACCACACCGACCCGTCGTCGCCCCGGCCCCAGTACATGGGGCAGATGCCGATGGGGTCCCTAAAGGCGGAGTACTCGCCCGTGGCCTCGTTGTACACCACGCACGCGAAGATGCCGTCCAGGGCGCCGATCATCTCGTCTGTGCAGCCGTACTTCCGGTACAGGTGGCCCACGACGGCGGAGTCGGAGCCGCTGTGCAGATCCACGCCGGCCAGGTGCTCCTCGCGAATCTGCGCGTGGTTATAGATCTCGGAGTTCCTACGGCGCGGGGGACAAAACTCAGGTGGAGAATTCGGCGGCACCGCGCTTGGGCACGGAGGGGAGACAGGTGTGGCGGCGCGCGGCGGGTACCGTCTGGCGAGGCAGGTGGAACTTTGAACCGGGAGCAAAAATTCACCGGCTGCGGATAATCAAGGGGTCAGATTAGGGGAGAGGGGTGCGTGCGGTGGCGGCGGCCCAGCGGTGGTGTTCAGCGGGGTCGCGCGTGCCACGCCACGTGGAAGAGCTGCACTCACGTGGCCCAGACAATGGCGCCCTCCGGCGTCTCCAGTCTGAACGGCTGCCTGCGCGGGGCACAAGGCACAGCATGCGTCAGCAGGCAGCGATGGGCTGCGGGCGGGCCACGGGGGGCCGCGCGGCGGACAACCCCCCTTCAAAAACACGCACCCAGGGGGGAATCCCGGTTCCCAAGCGCACCTGCCGGCATCGGAGATGTCCACAATCTGCAGGCGCTCGTGGCAGATACACGCGTCGCCGGCGGCGCTGGCGTACATGAAGTTCGCGTCGGGGCCCCTGTGCCTCAGCAGCTTGCTGAGCTTGAGCAGCTCCCGCCTGTTCTGCTCCGGCGTGCCGGTGAGCCCGAAGGCCGCGAGTATGCCGCACATGGCTTCGCTGGGCGGCGCTGGCGGTGACGCTCGCGGTCAGAACGGCCCTCGCCGAGGCGGTTCCGAGCGTGCCTGGCTCGCTGGTGCGCCGGGGGGGCCGTGGGCCAGCCGGTGTCGGGCCGGAGCGCGCGCAGGGGTCGCTGCACGGGCCGGGGGCGTGTTCGCGTTTCAACCTGCACCAGGCGATGTGGGACAACTAAGTCGACAAAAGTAAGGGGCAGCGACTAAAGGGTCCATTCGTGACTCAGCTTTTGACGTCCATCGGGATCCCACGTAAGGGGGGCGCCGGGCGGCTGGGTCCGGCGCTGGCGGTCGTCAGCCGCCCGTCAGCCTGTCCTGGCGCTGCCCAGTCGCACGCGCGGGCCACGCGGCCCCTTGGCGCCTGGGGGGTCCCGCGGATCAGGGGTGTGTGGGAGGGTGGGGTCACGGGCGACGACTCACCCTGGTTGCGTGACCGGCCTTCCAATGGTGGCCCCCTGCCAAGACCACCAGTGACACGGTGTTGAATGTTGCACCATGTTGCATGGTTTCAGAACAATTTCAGGACAATTGTGGACCGCAGACCAAGGCGAAAATGGGGAAAACCGTCGCGAACTGTGGCCCCAGCGCCCCTTGCGCAGCGGCCATGCCCTCCTGGGATCGACAGCGTCTGATGCTGCTCTTGTCCTTAGTGCCTGTGGGTGCGCCTGGGGCGTGCATGGGTTCTGACCTGGGTTTTCGCCTAGGGCTCTTTGGAAACCCTTTTTCAACTCGTTTAGACTCCTTGGGTCTTAGAGGCGGTCCAGACTCGAATATCTGGAAGTTTGGAGGGTCTTGCTGCAATACTAACGGCACATTTGGGTTCATGGAACGGTGTGTAACGCTGCAACAGTGCCAATGGAGTAGCATTCGAGCAACATTGGTATTGGCATCAAAGCATGCCAACGGGAATGCATGAGCATTGCTGCAAAGTCGTCCATCAGTGCGTCAATGGCCCAGTTGCATTAAGCGCCATCAATGTTGTAGCAAGATCGTGGAGATTTCCAGATGAAATTTTCGACTTCGAGCCAAAACGATAACAAAATTGAACTACATGCTCAAAGCAGGTGGCGGGAGTGCACAACGACAATAACGCCGCCCGTGCCATGGGCAGCGCTATGCATGGCATACAGTATGGCTCTACTGTAGTAACTACAGTACACTCTCTATGTGGTAAACTTCGACGCAATCTGCGCTGAGTATGTCTGAGAAAGACGTTGTAGTATATTTGTTTTAGGGAAAATGACAAAAGGGTGTCCTCTATGAGATATCTTGACAAAAGGGGGTCCTCGGTGACAAAAGGGGGTCCTATGCGGGGGTGCATTTGACAAAAGGGGGCCCTCTAACCGTCCCTTGTATATTAGACGCATTGCCATACGTGTACTAGACCGGCGCCGTACCGGCACTGGTCTGGTGCCAGACTAGACTACAGTCCTACTAGGGGCAACCCCTTTGGGAGGGCACCACGGCGACTGGGGCGTGAAGGGGATTCGCAACGATCGCGGCTACCGGGGAGGCCAAGCGGCAATCCGAGCTGCCAGAGAGAGCACGCAACGATCGGAGCTATAGGAGGGAGTCGTAGCAATAGGAGCTACGGGGGAGACCAAGCGTTGATAGGGGTTGCGGGGAGAGCAAGTGGCAACCGGAGCTGCAGTGAGAGCAAGGGGGGATCGGAGCTACCTTGGAGATCAAGTGGCGATCGGAACTCTGGGAAGCAGTCCCAGAGATCGGAGTTGTGGGAGAGAGCACGCGGCAATTGCCAATGCAACTATGGCTGTGGTGTAAAGCACAGGGGGTAGTGTGTTTCCTTGGTTATGGGTATCTGGGAGATATAATAAACGTTAATGGACAATCTCATCCTTTAGCTGATCTTACTAGGAACCGATAGGTTCTTGAATCAGGCCATTCGTGTTAGCGGTAGTGGAGATATAGTTATTACAAGTACTAGTACGTAAGGGCGCCTCCGCAACCGTACTGGGGGATGAGATACTATCGATATGGTGACGCTGTCCGCATTGTCACGTGATGCGGGGCACGCCAAAGGGCGGCCCCGATGCCCGACCAGTTGTAACTCTTGCTGACCACTTGCCTCCGCGCGGCTGCACCCGCAGGCAGAGGTGGGCCGTCCAGGAACGGGGACGGACTAGGAACGGGGACGGGGACGGGAACGGGGACGGACCGGAGTCCGTCCCCGTCCTTGGGCCGGCAGGCCCAAGAACGGCCAGGGACGGCTCCGTCCCTGGCTGGGAACGGACTGGGACGGATCTGGGACGGTATGGCCCACCTAGGAGTCCGTTCCTGTACTGCCCAAGGCCGGTCTAGAGTCCGTTCCATGCCGTTCCGAAGGCCGTTTCAGGCCGTTCCGAAGGCCGTTCCAGGCCGTTCTGAAGGCCGTCCCAGGCCGTCCTGGAACCCGTTCTAGAAGCCGCTCCACAATACATAACAACATCAAATTCATGCGTGGACCAATAAGAATGCAGCGATCAGATTTGACGCATGGGCCGCGCGCCCCACGGTCCACAAATGTGGTGCCCCTGCCCCCCTGCGACACAGTTTGCGCCTGTTGCTATGGGTGGCAAGACCAAGCAGACGCAGCGGCGGCGGCATGTGAAGGCCGGGGAGTCATGGCCCCTGGCCCGACATCACCAAGGCGGCCCCCCACAGCCTGCGGCAGGGGATGCCCGGGGCCAGACAGAGGGGCGCCCGGAAAGGCGGTCCCCCACCCCCCAAGGTGAGGGATCCGGGCATGCGGGGATGGCGGTGGCGGTGGCAGCGGTAGAGGGGGAAGGCCAGAGGACGTCTGTTGGTGGCAGCGCCCCACTCCCGGACTTGTTTGACTTTTCGCATTTGGTGGCGGGGGGCCTGGGGGACTTGGATTTGGAACCCAGCGTGGAGGGGGCTCTGAACCTACAACAGCTGCCAGCTATTGGGGCATCTGAAGGGCTGTTGCCGGCCGGGGATCCCGAGGGGGCGTCTGTGAGTGGCAGGGTGGGGTCTGCATTTGTACCGGCAGCGACACCTGGGGGCCCGTTGACGGCATCGGGGGCGGCCGCCTCTGGAAGCGACGTGAAGCGCGCGGCCGGCGGCGAGGGTGGGAATGCACCCTCAAGGGCAAAGCGGGCCCGAACGGAGGGAGGGGGTGGGGTGGGGGTCGCCTCTGGCAGCAATAGGTGTGTAGCCCCACCATTGGGGCCTGGGCAGAGCGGCAGCCGGTGGGTGAAGCCATTGTATGTGGAAGAGGAGGGGCGGCCTGGCATCCTTGCAAGATACGACAGTGTTACGGGGAAGGAAGACGACCACAGCAAGATCATTTGCCGCATATGCGGCAAAGGGATTTCCTTCAAGTCGTCATCCTTCTCGGCTGCGGAAAAGCATATGGGGCACCACAAGGTCACGCGACGGACGCTGTCCGTTGCCGTGGAGTTGGCAGACAAAGCACGGGCGGATGGTGTCGCTTTTCCCATGGCTGAGTTTCTTGCGCGGACGGCTGAGGAGGGCCGTGAGGTGGGAGTGGCACATTACATGCAGCAGGAGGACTTTGCCACAGGAACCGCCCCGTGGCAGCAAATGCGGTCAGCGATCACCCGCTGGATCGCAGCGGATAGCATTCAACTATCCGTTGTTGAGTCTCCAAACTTCCGCCGCATGTGCAAGGCACTCAACGACCGCTGCCCCTCCTTCAGCCGGAAGGCCGTCACCAACGAGGTCCGCTGTTACCATGTCGTCGCATGCATTGTGTGCAATATGTTTTGTTGTCCCATGGTGTCCATGTGATACAGTCCGCAGCACACAACTATGTTGGTTATCAGCCTGAAAATAGTGTCTTTGTTGTTATGGCAGGTGGCATCCATGCACCGTCAGGCAGTGCAGAAGCTCCGGGGGATGGAGGAGTGGAATAAGGTGCGGCCAGCCTTCACCTGCGACCTTTGGCGCTCTCGCACGCGGCGAGAGTATTTTTTAATGACCATGCACTGGGTGGAGGAGACGCACCAGCATGACGGCCGTGCCAACCGCCAGTGGCGGTTGCGGAGCAGGTGCATGGGGTCAGTGCCTGTGGAGGCGGAGAGCATCACGGCTGAAGGTGAGAGGCTGTGCAGCGAATGGGTAGCAGTGACTACCCAACTGGCAGCTGGTCGTGTTGTTTGTTATTTATGATATTCGCCTTTGTTGCTTGTTGCAAGCAGTTTTTGTATGTAGTGGTGGTGGACCTGGCCCGCAAGGAGCTGGAGAAGTATGGGATGATGGGGTGAATGGGCAGCAGTGACTGCCCAACTACCAGCTGGTCGAGTGGTTTGTTGCTTGTCACAATGTGTTTGTGTATGCAGTGGTGGTGGACCTGGCCCGCAAGGAGTTGGAGAAGTATGGGATGACCGGCTGGTGGCCGTCTTTTGTTACGGACGCTGGGAGCAACGTCAGGCAGGCTATTAGGGGGGAGCTGGCAGCACATGAGGTTGGGGAGCAACCTAGAGGCGGCATGGCAGATTGGTCACACTGTACCTGCCACATGCTCCACAACGTCGTGACCCATGGCCTGACCAACCTACGTATCCGCGCCACCCATACCGAAGGCTGCCAAAAGCTTTGTAGTGCAATAGGCCGGTAAGTTATGATGCTAGTGTGTCTTTGTGTGTGTGTTGCTGTGCGTGCATATATGTTGATGGTTATTTGTGTGTGCTGCAACTGTTGCAGCTGCTGCTGCTTAGGAATTGTTTCATCAGCAGTGTGCATGTGTCCTTACGATGGCAGGGTCTCCACGCTGGTGAACCACATGCGTGCCAGCACGAAAGCCACAGCTGAGCTGCAAAGGCTGCAAGTGGAAATAATAAGGGAGGGTAATAACGTAGTTTCTAGTGATGAGGAGGGGGTGTCTGCATCAAAGGTGCCCTCCGATGAGTCGGTTGAAGGTGGCAGAAGGCCCAACCTACGGAGGGTACTCCAGCTGGTGAGGTCTATGGATACTCGATGGAATAGTACATTTTTTA